TTTGTAAATGTTTATATTATGTACATTGTATATTTGATAGAGGCTCATAGGGAAGACTGGGCATGCCCAACTATGTTGCCTCTTTAAATAAAGTCTTTATTATTATTATTATTATTATTATTATTATATATGCGAAACAACGCACTTTCGACCCCCCCCCCTTTTAGGCCTGAAATAGTGAAAAAATGTCCTATTTGGGCCCCAAACACATGTTTTCTTTTGAGCAATGTTGCTGGAAAAAAGTGAGCACTTTTTCGGCGTTGCCCCCCATCCAGAAGATACATCAGGGGGTCGCCAAGAAAATTTTGGACTTGTGAGAGGCTTAAAATGACCCCAGGTCGATCATAAAGTAACGTGTAACCAAAGCTGAAAAGCCTTTGACTCTACATTGTATCTCAATCCCTTGAGAAGTTGCAGCACTTTGATATAAATTTTGATGAAAAAAATCGAGGCAAAATAGTGATTTTTGGCAATTTTGAGATGTCCCCTCGTTGCCATGGTAACAGGAAATTTAAGACTGAGCATGTTGTTACAAAGGCAATGGTCCAGTCAACATTTGTGCCAAGTTTGATTAGTATTCAAGCATTTTTCATAGTTTCATAGCAGTTTGAACTTGTAAGAGGAGGCTTTTCAGTGAAAATGGCCATTTTTCACAATATGCTCATGGGGGAAAGGGTTAACAGCATCTGACTTAGCTAGAAGACAGAAAGCTATCCCTATTGATAGCCTCTGCTATGTACCATGCATGTTAAATTCAATTGATATTAATTTTTTTCATAAAACTGTAAAATGTGTGGGTAAATTCCATTTTAAGTTGTTAAAATAAACAGACAAGCCACACAAACACAAACATTCAGTAATTAAATTTTATTGCATACGTTTCGGCTATATGCCTTCATCAGTGCAAAACATAATAAAATTACCGGAAGCGACGTCATAACGGAACACGCGTTAAACGCGCGAAAAACGTTATGGCGTTTAGCGGCAAAACTATGATAACATGCAGAAACAAATATTTATACTATAAAAATAAAGCTGGTACATGAATTAAAATAGATCAACAGTGATACAGATGTCTATTAGACAGTGTTAATACTATTATCTTATATTATCTTATTTTTATTTTAAGTTGTTGGAATTTAATTTCAGGTTTTCCCCCTTTTCTGATTTATCGCCCTATATTTTCCGTTCAGAAAGCCACAGGTTGTTTTGAAAATTGGAAAAAAATCACTGACCAGCTTGAAATTTTCAATGCCTGCTAAAAGGATTTGGGGTGACATTTTTATTACAAATGCATTACATCTATACTGTCAATTGATTTAATAATGTTTCAATTAATTTCTCTCCGTATTTTCTCACAGACTATGCTTATTAAAGTCTGTGTTTTTCAGGAAAAAAAACTTCTGATTATCAAACGCTAAAAATTAATATACCTACTGTAATTGATATTCAATAAAATCTTCTTTTAGAAGCACAGGTTTGCATTTTTGTGCCCCCCCTGTAGGGGGGGGGGGGTGGCATTTAGATTTACCCTTGTCCGTCCATCCGTTCGTCAGTTCCCTTTTTGTGTCACACGTAGCTCAAAAAGTAATTAACTTAGAGTCATGAAACCTTACAGAAATGTTGGTCAGCTGCTCAGCATGTGAATTTCTGCACCTGGGTATTTTCATGTGGATATATTTAATACTTTTAGAGTTATTGCCATTGACTTAGTAAAAATTTCCAATTTTCAACTTGTGTCGCACGTAACTCAAAAAATATTTGTGCTAGAGTCATGAAACCTTACAAGAATGTTGCTCAGCATGTGTAGTTGTGTAACTAGGTATTTTTGTGTGGATATTTTTAGTATGTTTTGGGTTATTGCCCTTGAGTTAGTAAACATTTCCAATTTCAACTTGTGTCGCATGTAACTCAAAAAATATTTGACCTAGAGTCATGAAACTTTACAGGAATGTTGATCAGCATGTGAAGTTGTGCACCTGGGTATTTTTGTGTGGCTATATTTAGTATTTTTAGAGTTATTGCCCTTGAATTAGAAACAAATTCCAATTTTCAACTTATGTCGCACGTAACTAAAAAAGTATTTGACCTAGAGTCATGAAACCTTACAGGCATGTTGCTCAGCATGTGTAGTTGTGCACCTGGGTATTTTATGTGGATATATTTAGTATTTTTAGAGTTATTGCCCTTGACTTAGTAAAAATTTACAATATTTAACTTGTATTGCACATAACTCAAATAGTTTATGACCTGTAGGCCTAAAAGTTTACAAGAATGTAATTATTTAATTATGTTGGTCAGCATGTGAACTTATGCATCTTGGGGTTTTCTTGTGGATTTATTCAGTATTTGTAGTATTTGCACTTTACTTAAAAAAAGATTTTTAGTTTTCAACTTGGGCACATGTAGCCAAAAAAAAATTTAGCTATAATGGATTTGCTTTGTCGCGTCCGTCAGTCGGTCCGTCCGTCTCCATTTTCGTGTCCCCTCTATAAATCCTATACCAATCGAAGGATTTTCTTCAAACTTGGCTCAAATGTTCACCTCAACAAGGGCATGTGCAGAACCCATATTGCCCATGTGTCAGCTCAAGGTCAAGGTCACAATTGAAGGTCAAATATCAAACAATCAAATATTAGACAGTAGGTCGTGTCCGCTCTGTAACTCCTACACTAATTGAAAGATTTTCTTCAAACTTGGCTCAAATGTTCACCTCAACAAGGGGATGTGCAGAACCCATGTTGCCCATGTGTCAGGTCAAGGTCACAATTGAAGGTCAAATATCAAACAATGAAATATTAGACAGTATGTCGTGTCCGCTCTGTAACTCCTATACTAATTGAAAGATTTTCTTCAAACTTGGCTCAAATGTTCACCTCAACAAGGGGATGTGCAGAACCCATGTTGCCCATGTGTCAGCTCAAGGTCAAGGTCACAATTGAAGGTCAAATAACAAACAATCAAATATTAGACAGTATGTCGTGTCCGCTCTGTAAGTCTTACACTAATTGAAATATTTTCTTCAAACTTGGCTCAAATGTTCATCCAACAAGGGGATGTGCAGAACCCATGTTGCCCATGTGTCACTTCAAGGTCAAGGTCACAATTTAAGGTCAAATATCCAACAATCAAATATTAAACAGTATGTCGTGTCCGCTCTGTAACTCTTACACTAATTGAAGGATTTTCTTCAAACTTGGCTCAAATGTTCACCTCAACAAGGGGATGTGCAGAACCCATGTTGCCCATGTGTTAGCTCAAGGTCAAGGTCACAATTGAAGGTCAAATAAAAAACAATGAAATATTAGACAGTATGTCGTGTCCGCTCTGTAAGTCCTACACTAATTGAAAGATTTTCTTCAATCTTGGCTCAAATGTTCACCTCAACAAGGTTTTGTGCAGAACCCATGTTACCCTTTTGCCGGCTTAAGGTCAAGGTCACACTTGAAGGTCAAAAATTGACTTAGAAAATGTTCTTAAATTTTAACATGTATTTGAATATTTCTGAAACTAGAAAAGGTATTTGCTTGAAACTTAAAATGTATATGAAGTGTCACAATTAAGATATATGCAGGTCAAGTTTCATAACTCTGTATTGCATTTTAACAAAGTTATTCCCGTTTTTAAGTCTTCAAATTTACATTAACCAAATATTAGACAATAATTGTCTTGTCCGCTCTATAAATCCTATACTAATGGAAGAATTTTCTTCAAACTTTACTCAAATGTTCACCTCAATAAGGTTATGTGCAGTATCCATGTTTATTTGTGCCGACTAAAGCTCAAGGTCACACTTGAAGGTCAAAAATTGACTTAGAAAATGTTCTTAAATTTTAAATGTACTAGAATATTTCTGAAAGTAGCACAGGTTTTTGCTTGAAACTTAAAAGATATATGAGGTGTCACAAATAAGATATGCAGGTCAAGTTCAATAACTCTGTATTGCATTTTGACAAAGTTATGCCCCTTTTTAAGTCTTTAGATTTACATACAATCAATACTATACAATATGTTATGTCCGCTCTGTAAATTCTATACTAATGGAAGGATTTTCTTCAAACTTTACTCAAATGTTCACCCCAACAGGGCTATGTGCAGAACCCATTTTACCCTTGTACCAGCTTAAGGTCAAGGCCACACTTGAAGGTCAAAAATAGACTTAGAAAATGTCTAGTACATTGGGAAAATGAAAGGTTATTTGTAACTGTTTCGAACATGATTTGACAATATATATTTATACTAATACCTGTACAATTAGTCTTTTTTTCACCAGAGATAATTTCTTTTTATGCATATGTATTTGTGCCACTAAAGTTATTCTCTTAACCACCTTTCCAAGTCGTCTTCTGTCAAGGACATTGGTGGGGGTATTAATAGCATTCAGCGATAGTTCTAGTTCATCATTGTTTTAGGTTATTTCTTTTAAAAGTGCTGCACGGCTAGCATCAACAGTGTATAGTTATAGGCTAGTCGTATGTGGCTCACATACAGCTAGAACTTTTGGCTAGCAATACAGACCCAAACAGCTAGCCACTCCTTAAAATGTTTAAATTGATGTTTTTATCTTTCAAGAAAATAGAAAAATCTTGTCCGGCTTTCACAGGTCAAAGTGTAGAGGGGATTTCAATGAAACTTCACAAAAGAGATTAATACCATCCCTAGTTGTGCATATCGCTGTTTGTTGTTTATATGGGGTTTTTGTAATAAAGGCCAAGATGATTAAGATATGGGCTAGTGAATTTTTTTTTCAATCACATTTAAAAATAATAAGATGTTAATTGTCTCTTAAGTTACTTTTTATTAATAATTTCAATATCCATAATCATAATTATGATCTTTACTATGTTTAAAGGACTTAAAAACCCAAGCAGAGTCATGGAAACATTTAAATTTTAAGTATCTGAGACACATGTAAGTTATTCTGAGACACATGTAACCAGTTTTGTAATTAATTAATGTAAGATAATTTCATCTTAAAGCTATTATCCACTTTTTTTCAGAGCTACATCACTGCAATGTGTAATCCATTAGAGAAGAAGCAAGTCCAGTTTGCCAAGTCCTCATGCTCCGAGTTAACTGACCCAACAACTTTAGAATACATAGAAAAAACTACCAATGCTTTTATAAGACCATTGAAGAAAATTGCTCAGTTTGAAATTTCAGGGACAGAATTAGCAGTTACTCTTGCATTGTCACAGATTGAAGAATTAGCAGGGACAGCATTGGTTGGTAAAGATCAATGTAATGTTGAAGATGATGATCATGATGAACATGATGGTATGATAATGATCTCCCCTAATACCCATAATGCATCATCCAGACTTTCAACAGTATTAGAGAGAGCACTTTCAGCCAATAGCGACGGTATTTGCTCGGCTGAGGATTATCGTAAAGTTCCACAAGCTGTAAAACGAGTACTTGTTAATTGTCTACAAGATGATGATCAAGATGATATTGATGATGAATTACTTTTTGCAGATGGCACGAAGGAAAGTGGTGATACTGATAATTTTAAACGTTCTAACATAATGATGTTTTATGAAGGTGATGAGAAACCAATAGAAGTTGATGAGAAAACTACAGTACAAACATCACCTGGTATATCAACAATAGCTGAAAAAGTGACAGAATTAACTGTGTCAAATCCAAATGCTACCACACTTTTAACAAAGCAACAAGAGTACTTACGTAGTTTTGGTATGTCAGTAGGATTTAAAGAGGCAGAAGTAGATAAAGCTTTATGCTTCGTTCATGAAAAGACCAGGCCATCTGATTTTCTTGATATGTTAAATTCACTTCAAACACAGGAAGAGAACCAGGAAGAGAATGACAGTGATGATGATGTCATTATTCTAGAAACAGAAACTGTAAATCTTGTTACTGATGAAAGAATTGTGGTTGATGAAACTCTAAATGTTAAAGATAAAGGGAAGATATCTAATGAAAGCAATACAAATGATATTAGAAGACTTCCTAAAGCACCTGGTCAAACCTCCTTACCAGATGGGTATAAGGAACGATTGTTTCAGGATTTCTTTACTGAAGATGAAAATTGCTCTGTTGATGAACTTAAGAAGAGGAATGCTGAACGACAAAAGTTGTTGCGACAAAATTTTGAAAGTCAACAAAAAAATGATGCTAATAATGAAACTACACAAGAACAAACTGGTAAAAAACAAAATAAAAGAGGAAAAAATAGAGGAAAGAAAAAGAAGCAGCAGCAGCAGCAGCAACAGCAACAATGTGTTGAAAATAAACAAGAAAGGGAAGGCATGCATGATAAACAATTCCGCTTAGACACTAATGAAAATGATAAAGCATCTAAGAATGATGATCAGACTTGTGTTTTAAGGGTGTGGAGTAAAGATCAGGGATCAACAAGTGCCAGTGTTGGGCAATCAGCTGATGAACCATTTCAGACAACACCAAAACGTAAAGGCAGAAATACCCAACAGCAGCAGCAGCAGCCTCAACTAATCTCGGGAAATAACAATAATGTAAGACAGAGATCTCCAAACCCTGGTTTTCAAAAAGGGACACAGTGGGTAGAGCCTGTAGGCAGAGGTAAAAAGCCGATGCAGATTGTGACACCAGTAAATACAACAGAAGGAGATTTCAACAAGATGGCCGGACAAGCTCAAGGTGGTCCAGTTGAGGAGGACTTAAGATATATTGTCATTGATGGGTCGAATGTTGCAATGACGTAAGTGATATTATTTTTTGTCTAATGAAATTTTCAGAGTTTCCGGACTTTAAATGGAATTAAGTGTACATAGTACTACTACTACATACTGAATTGGCATACCTTTTTATTCCATATATGGTACTTGAGTCTAATAATCCTCTGTGCAGCTGTGCAGGCTGGTCTGGATCCATGCTGGTCGCTAACCCATTATGTTGGTTTTGTCGTGACGCGGCTCAAATGTTGTTGATGTGTAAAAACAATGAAATCATATATTTTTTGGGGGAAAAAAACAATATTTGATGATAATCTTTTTTGTAAAAATTATGTTAATTTCCTTTAAATTGCACAAGAATGATTTTTTATGCCCCCACAATGTGGGAGCATATAGCGTTGCACTTGTCCGTCCGAGTCCGTCCGTCCGAGCAAACATTTGATATTTATGAGCTTCATTCCGTAGTTAAATAAAGAACAAAAACTCATAAAATTCAAATTAAGAGCTATTTTTAGCTCACCTGTCACAAAGTGACAGGGTGAGCTTTTGTGATCGCTTTTCGTCCGTCGTCCGTCCGTCGTCCGTAAACTTTTACTTTAAATGACATCTCCTCATAAACCACTAAGCCAATTTCATCCAAACTTCACAGGAATGTTCCTTTGGTGGTCACCTTTAAAAATTGTTCAAAGAATTTAATTCCATGCAGAACTCTGGTTGCCATGGCAACCGAAAGAAAAAACTTAAAAAATCTTCTTTTAAAGAACCCAAAGAGCTAGAGCTAAGATATTTAGCATGAAACATGTTCTAATGAGTGTCTACCAAGTTTGTTCAAATAAAAGCCCTGGGGTCAAAATTGGCCCCGCCCCAGGGGGTCATTGATTTTCCTTATATATGCATATAGTAAAAACTTAAAAAATCTTCTTTTAAAGAACTCAAAGAGCTAGAGCTAAGATATTTAGCATCAAACATGTTCTAATAGGTGTCTACCAAGTTTGTTCAAATAAAAGCCCTGGGGTCAAAATTGGCCCTGCCCCGGGGGTCATTGATTTTCCTTATATGTGTAAAGCAAAAACTTAAAAAATCTTCTTTGAAAAAACCCAAATAGCTAGAGTTTAGATATTAAGCATGAAACATCTTCTAGTGAGTGTCTACAAAGTTTGTTCAAATAAAAGCCCTGGGGTCAAAATTGGCCCCGCCCCGGGGGTCATTGATTTTCCTTATATGTGTATAGCAAAAACTTAAAATCTTCTTTGAAAAAACCCAAATAGCTAGAGTTTAGATATTAAGCATGAAACATCTTCTAGTAAGTGTCTACAAAGTTTGTTCAAATAAAAGCCCTGGGGTCAAAACTGGCCCCGCCCCAGGGGTGTCATTGTTTTTAACTATATGTGTATAGTAAAAACTTAAAAAAAATCTTCTTTTAAAAAGCCCAATGAGCTAGAGCTTAGATGTTTAGCATGAAACATCTTCTTATGGGTGTCTACCAAGTTTGTTCAAATAAAAGCCCTGGGGTCAAAATTGGCCCCGCCCCAGGGGGTCATTGATTTTCCCTATATGCATATAGTAAAAACTTAAAAAATCTTCTTTTAAAGAACTCAAAGAGCTAGAGCTAAGATATTTAGCATCAAACATGTTCTAATAGGTGTCTACCAAGTTTGTTCAAATAAAAGCCCTGGGTTTAAAATTGGCCCCGCCCCGGGGGTCATTGATTTTCCTTATATGTGTATAGCAAAAACTTAAAAAATCTTCTTTGAAAAAAACCAAATAGCTAGAGTTTAGATATTAAGCATGAAACATCTTCTAGTGAGTGTCTACAAAGTTTGTTGAAATAAAAGCCCTGGGGTCAAAATTGGCCCCACCCCGGGGGCCATTGATTTTCCTTATATGTGTATAGCAAAAACTTAAAATCTTCTTTGAAAAAACCCAAATAGCTAGAGTTTAGATCTTAAGCATGAACCATCTTCTAGTAAGTGTCTACAAAGTTTGTTCAAATAAAAGCCCTGGGGTCAAAACTGGCCCCGCCCCAGGGGTGTCATTGTTTTTAACTATATGTGTATAGTAAAAACTTAAAAAAATCTTCTTTTAAAAAGCCCAATGAGCTAGAGCTTAGATGTTTAGCATGAAACATCTTCTTATGAGTGGGGGGGGGGGGGGGGGCTATATACAGTCGAGCTACCTCAGGGCCATCATGGCCCTCTTGTTTTGTTTTTATGAGCTAATTTTGCTTATGGACTTTGGTCCAGGTGTAGTTTATGAGCTGATTTGCCTCTTAAATATCAAAAGTTGGTACGTTCGTCCGTACGTCTGTCCGTACATCCCGAAATCTTGTGAACGCAACTCCTCTTAAACCAGATGGCAGATTTTGCTTTAACTTCCAGGGATGAACAACCTTAATGTGTAGATGGTAGTAAAGGAAGGAATTTTTGCTGCGACCAAATTTAACAGAATTATGGCCCTTTGTTGATTTTTTCACTATATACTACGTAGAAATTTTGTGAATGCAACTCCTCTTAAACCGGATGACAGATTTTGCTTAAACTTCTAGGGATGAACAACCTTAATGTGTAGATGGTAGTTAAGGGAGGAATTTTTGCTGCGACCAAATTTAACAGAATTATGGCCCTTTGTTGATTTTTTCACTATATACTATGTAGAAATTTTGTGAACGCAACTCCTCTTAAACCGTATGGCAGATTTTGCTTAAACTTCCAGGGATGAACAACCTTAATGTGTAGATGGTAGTAAAGGAAGGAATTTTTGCTTCAACCAAATTTAACAGAATTATGGCCCTTTGTTGATTTTTTCACTATATACTATGTAGAAATTTTGTGAACGCAACTCCTCTTAAACCGTATGGCAGATTTTGCTTAAACTTCCAGGGATGAACAACCTTAATGTGTAGATGGTAGTAAAGGAAGGAATTTTTGCTTCGACCAAATTTAACAGAATTATGGCCCTTTGTTGATTTTTAGTTTTCAACTTGTGGCAGTCATGTAGTCCAAAAAATATTTGAGTCATAAGATTGACAGAACAGTGGCGTGTGGGGGCATCTGTGTCCTATGGACACATTTCTAGTTTTTTATATTTATACGTCAACTTTAGAAAATCTGAGAAAAAGTCTTTAAAATTTTCCCATTTATATGGATTGCGATAGGGAATCAGGCAATTGGAAGGGGAACCGCTGCGTTGTCTGTGATAAAGCTCTTGTTGTTATTTTTTGACAATCTTGTATTGACAATACATTGTATTTTTTCTTTACAGCCATGGCAATGGAAAACATTTCTCATGTAAAGGTATAAAGATTTGTGTGGATTATTTCCGTCAAAGGGGACATAAAAATATAACAGTTTTTGTTCCTCAATGGAGGCAGTACCAACCGAGTGATACCAACATGATTCTAGATCAGAACATTCTATATGAACTAAAACAAGAAGATATATTAGTGTTTACACCTTCTCGTAAAATTGGCAGGAAACTTGTGGTTGCCTATGATGACAGGCAAGTATAGTGTTTACTTAATGAATTACATACATTTTCATACTAGGTTATTGTAATGTTTTTTGCCAGCATATCATTTAAGTACTGTAAACAGTTCATCAGATATGTCACAGTGATTTAGCTATCAGTCGGCAATTATGGAAGACGGACAAAACCCCACCAGTTTAAACAATTATTTATGTAGAAAACATGTCAACAATAAAGGTTTAAAATTTAGCACTCTATTATCAGATAATTTGTCCACATACTGGTACATATACCCACACCATTTTTTTTATTAAACTAGCCCTTAATCTTACATAAAAACATGTATTTGATTTTCTAAAGTTACATTTTATTAAAGATATTCTTCAATTATTATTTGAATGCTATCTTTCACAGCTTTTTTTCTGTTTAACTTTAAAATTTAATATTATCATCTATCATATTACTATCTAAATTGATAATCATTCTTACTTTTATTTTTTTCAAGAAATAGAAATTTGGATAGATTATTGATTTTTAAGTTATGTCAAAACATCTTCAATCAGAAACATGATACTTACACTGAAACTGCATGTGAAGTTAGATTAGTTATAATAAAAAAAAACATGTGATTTGATACCATTTTATGTTTATTTTATAGAGAGAATATTGAATGATTGTAGGGTTCAATACTGAATTCATTGAACAAGCAAAGTAAAATTATTTTATCCAATGAGTTCAATAAATTCAGTAATGAAGCTACACGAATATAATACAATTTATTCTATTAATTACATATATCCAAAATAAGAACTATTTATGGTAAAAATGAACACTTCTTCATTGACATCCCAATAGTATAATGCTACGAGTCAGAACAACTTTACAGCACTTTTGAATATTTTGTATAACACATTTATGATATAAATTTGCAAAATTTTTAAAAAATCGAATATGCTCTTCCATTTAAATAAAGCAAAAATGCAACTGATACATTTACTAAGTTTGTCAGTATTTTGTATTATTATTGTAAAAAGTCATAACTATTGTTGTTTTACTGTTTATTATAGGTTTGTTTTAGAGCTAGCTGAGGCTGAAGATGGTATTATAGTGTCTAATGACCAGTATAGAGATCTCATGTATGAAAAGGCTGCATGGAGAAAGTTAATTGAAGAAAGGTTTTGATAATTTGATTCATTACACACAAAAATGTCACTGATTAACTTGTAATAATAATGGGGAAAGGTTACTGTATAGAAAATTTAGATGACAAACAATAGATGGTTAATGCACTTTTTTTAGTTAATTAACATCTGCATAAGCATGAGATGGCATTTAAAGCCTGAGCCCGCAGTGCAACAGATTAAATAAAGCTGAGGTTTTTGGCAGATGTTAATGCACAAAAAAGGTGCATAAGCTCTATTCTTGTGTGAATGTATACCATTTTTTAGCTCGACTATACGAAGTATATGGAGAGCTGTCCTACTCGCCCCGGCGTCGGCGTCCGCGTCCAGATTTCAGATTAAAGTTTTGGTGCAGTAAAATATTTTTCACTATAACTTTGTCATTTCTTAAGGTATCAACTTCAAACTTCAAATATATGTTCCTTATCATCAACCACATCTTATGTGACAAGCTTCATAACTCTAGCACCAATATTTTCAGATTTATCTCCCCTTGAACTTAGAATTTTCCTTAAAAAATACTATTTTTTACTGTTACTTCTTTATTTCTTAAGGGATCAACCTCATACTTCAAATATATGTACCTTATCACCATCCCCATCTTATGTGACAAGGTTAATAACTCTAGCACCAATATTTTCAGATTTATCTCCCCTTGAACTTAGAATTTTCCTTAAAAAATACTATTTTTAGCTCACCTGTCACAAAGTGACAGGGTGAGCTTTTGTGATCGCTTTTTCGTCCGGCGTCCGTCCGTCGTCTGTCCGTCGTCCGTCCGTAAACTTTTACTTTAAATGACATCTCCTCATAAACCACTAAGCCAATTTCATCCAAACTTCACAGGAATGTTCCTTTGGTGGTCACCTTTAAAAATTGTTCAAAGAATTTAATTCCATGCAGAACTCTGGTTGCCATGGCAACCGAAAGAAAAAACTTTAAATATCTTCTTTTAAAAAACCATAAGAGCTAGAGCTTAGATATTTGGCATGAAACATCTTCTAGTGAGTGTCTACCAAGTTTGTACAAATAAAAGCCCTGGGGTCAAAATTGGCCCCGCCCCGGGGGGTCATTGATTTTCCCTATATGCATATAGTAAAAACTTAAAAAATCTTCTTTTAAAGAACCCAAAGAGCTAGAGCTAAGATATTTAGCATGAAACATGTTCTAATGGGTGTCTACCAAGTTTGTTCAAATAAAAGCCCTGGGGTCAAAATTGGCCCCGCCCCGGGGGGTCATTGATTTTCCCTTTATGCATATAGTAAAAACTTAAAAAATCTTCTTTTAAAGAACCCAAAGAGCTAGAGCTAAGATATTAAGCATGAAACATGGTATAATGGGTGTCTACCAAGTTTGTTCAAATAAAAGCCCTGGGGTCAAAATTGGCCCTGCCCCAGGGGGTCATTGATTTTCCCTATATGCATATAGTAAAAACTTAAAAAATCTTCTTTTAAAGAACCAAAAGAGTTAGAGCTAAGATATTTAGCATGAAACATTTTCTAATAAGTGTCTACCAAGTTTGTTCAAATAAAAGCCCTGGGGTCAAAATTGGCCCCGCCCCGGGGAATCATTGTTTTTAACTATATGTGTATAGTAAAAACTTTAAAAAAATCTTCTTTTAAAAAGCCCAATGAGCTAGAGCTTAGATGTTTAGCATGAAACATCTTCTTATGGGTGTCAACCAAGTTTGTGCAAATAAAAGCCCTTGGGTTAAATTGGCCCTGCAACATTGGGGGGGGGGGGGGGGGGGGGTTCGGGGGGCCTATATACAGGTGAGGGACCTCAGGCCCTCTTGTTTACCTTACTTCTTTATTTCTTAAGGGATCAACCTCATACTTCAAATATATGTACCTTATCATCATCCCTATCTTATGTGACAAGGTTCATAACTTTAGCACCAATATTTTCAGATTTATCTCCCCTTGAACTTAGAATTTTCTTTAAAAAATATTATTTTTTACTGTAACTTATTTATTTCTAAAGGGATCAACTTCATACTTCAAATAAATGTACCTTATCATCATCCACATCTTATGTGACAATGTTCATAACTCTAGCACCAATATTGCAAGAATTATCTCCCCATCAACTTAGATTTTTTTACTAGAAAAATGTTATTTTTTACTATAACTTTATTAGTTTTAAAGGTATCTACCTCAAACTTCAAATACTTATTCCTTATAATCAATTATATTTTATGTGACAATGTTCATAACTCTTGAAGTAATTTTTACAGATTTATCTCTCTTTGAACTTAGGATTTTCTTTAAGAAATATTATAACTTTGTTACTTTTTAGCTCACCTGTCACAAAGTGACAGGGTGAGCTTTTGTGATCGCTTTTCGTCCGGCGTCCGTCGTCCGTCCGTCGTCCGTCCGTCGTCCGTAAACTTTTACTTTAAATGACATCTTCTCATAAACCACTAAGCCAATTTCATCCAAACTTCACAGGAATGTTCCTTTGGTGGTCACCTTTGAAAATTGTTCAAAGAATTTAATTCCATGCAGAACTCTGGTTGCCATGGCAACCAAAAGAAAAAACTTTAAATATCTTCTTCTAAAAAACCCAAAGAGCTAGAGCTTAGATATTTGGCATGAAACATGTTCTAGTGAGTGTCTATCAAGTTTGTTCAAATAAAAGCCCTGGGGTCAAAATTGGCCCCGCCCCAGGGGGTCATTCACTTTCCCTATATGCATATAGTAGAAACTCAAAAAATCTTCTTTTAAAGAACCCAAAGAGCTAGAGCTAAGATATTTAGCATGAAACATGTTCTAATGGATGTCTACCAAGTTTGTTCAAATAAGAGCCCCGGGGTCAAAATTGGCCCTGCCCCGGGGGTCATTGATTTTCCTTATATGTGTATAGTAAAAACTTAAAAAATCTGCTTTGAAAAATAAGCAAATAGCTAGAGTTTAGATACTAAGCATGAAACATCTTCTAGAGAGTGTCTACCAAGTTTGTTCTTATAAAAGCCCTGGGGTCAAAATTGGCCCCGCCCCGGGGGACATTGATTTTCCTTATATGTGTATAGCAAAAACTTAAAAATCTTCTTTGAAAAAACCCGAATAGCTAGAGTTTAGATATTAAGCATGAAACATTTTTAACTCACCTGTCACAAAGTGACATGGTGAGCTTTTGTGATCGCTTTTCGTCCGGCGTCCGTAAACTTTTACTTTATACGACATCTTCTCATAAACCGCTGAGCCTATTTTATCCAAACTTCACAGGAATGTTCCTTTGATGGTCACCTTTAAAAATTGTTCAAAGAATTTAATTCCATGCAGAACTCTGGTTGCCATGGCAACCAAAAGAAAAAACTTCAAAAATCTTCTTTTAAAAAACCCAAAGAGCTAGAGCTCAGATATTTGGCATGAAACATCTTCTAGTGAGTGTCTACCAAGTTTGTTTAAATAAAAGCCCTGGAGTCAAAATTTGCCCCGGCCGGGGGGGGGGGGGGGGGGTCATTGTTTTTCCATATATGTATATAGTAAAAACTTAAAAAATCTTCTTTAAAAAAAACCCAAAGAGCTAGAGCTTAGATATTTAGCATGAAATATCTTCTAATGGATGTCTACCAAGTTTATTTAAATAAATGTCCTAGGGTTAAAATTGGCCCCACCCGAGCGGGGTCATTGATTTTCCATATATGTATATTGTAAAAACTTAAAAAAATCTTCATTTTTAAAAACAAAAGAGCTAGAGCTTAGATATTTAGCATGAAACATCTTCTAATGGGTGTCTACCAAGTTTGTTTAAATAAATGTCCTAGGGTTAAAATTGGCCCCGCCCAGGGGGGGGGGGGGCTCATTGATTTTCCTATATGTATATAGTAAAAACTTAAAAAATCCTCTTTTAAAATAAACCAAAGAGCTAGAGCTTAGATACTTAGCATGAAACATCTTCTAATAGTGTCTATCAAATTTTCTA